GTCAGTTGTGTAAAAGCCGGTGCCTCTGCTGTAAGAGACAGTACCAGGGCCCGCAAACGGAGTTGCAACCGATGTTGTGAAATTCCCTGCGGGATTCGAGGCGGTGTTTGTAAACAACCGATCAACCTGTTCTATGCGCACTCGCGGGTTACCAAAAAAGGTTTGGATTTGTACTTGGTTGCCAGAGTACACCACAGTTTCTGAAGAGTCAACATTAGTGACGTATGATCCTGTCGTAGTCTGAATAAAGTCAGTTTGTGGTGGGGATCCAGTCGTTCGCAGCAAATTACGCACGCCTTCACTGTCGGTTTCTATTGAATAAGACACACTTTCTGTGGCTGGGAGAAACATTCTAAAGGTCTGTTCGGCCACTGGGTTAGAGTCAGTGGTGAAAAAAACAGTTTCTTCGATTGGGTCAATGAAAACAGTCCCACCGGTGGCATATCTACTAGATGGAGGGTCAATTGTGACTTCATTGTTGTCAATTACTGCAAATTGAGTGATGCCATTGAAATTGGAGACCTGTCCACCTGTGGTTGTAAACGTAAGCTGCATTCCGCTAAAGGTAGCTGTTGAAGGACCGTTAATTTCAAAAGTTGCAGTTTCTGATGATAGTACTGTAATTGGGTTGGTTTGAGACGTGACAACAGTCATGCCAGCAGCATTAGTAGTAAACTCAAACGTATTCGTTACAATGTCGCTGTTGATGGATTGAAATGGAGGTGTAGTTCCTGAGCCTAGATTCCCAATGAAGATAGCCCTGTCAGCACCTATATATGCCTGGCCTGGACCTGTTACTACAGTGCTTTCTGTTTGGGCCAAATATATTGAACTGTGCTTGACCATTAGCTCCCCTGTTAAATACGGCAAATTCCATAATCCCACCACTTATCATCATCCCCTGTAATGTTGAAATACTACCACCGGAGTACGATAAGCCATCTGCCGGTCCCAATGTCATGGCCATAGCTCCTGATAGAGTAATCTGGAACTCTCAACTGTTCACAATTAAATTGCTTACAAGGCTTCCCATATCTCTGGCAGTCATAACCTCAAATTGTACTGCAAGAGGAGGAGCATTAGCAATAGCCTGATTAATGAAATTCATTTCAAAAGTGCAGCCATCGTTGATGTAGAATGCTCGACCATCGCTGACATATAACTTTCCCGGGCCTCCTACTGCATCAGCTAATATTGGATTACACAGTTTAACTAGGTACTCAGAGATACCAGGAATGTTCTGAACTTCATCTCCATTTTCATCCGTGATGCACACAACACCATTCATGAAGTCTACAATATGTCCAGGAGCAACAGCGATACATTGGGCGTTATTTCCGGTCAAAAATACAACATCTTGGCCTTCACAAACGAGAATTACTTCATTGTTTGGGCCTGGTCGAGTGCCAAGATCAAAGGATTGCCGCTTTTCCTATTGTTGAGAAAATCATCTAACATAGAGGTTCAGTCTAGTTTAAGATGGGGCAGCAAGCAGGCTCTGGGGCTCTATGTATGGGTACCTATGCCTTCAAACAGACGCCAACTTCGAGCAGTGGTTATATTACCAAGTGTTGCTAAAATTACCGGTGTAGGCGTGAAAGGGTTTGAAATAAGAAGCATGGCTACACAGGAACAAAGTGTTACTTATAATAGTATCTTCTATTTCTGGACATGACATCATCACTACTCATATGTAGACATTCACTTAGGTAACACTGAAATGTCACAAGCATAGGTGACTACTTCTGGATGACGTGCCTTTATTTCAGAGTAATGGATTTTCCCACTAATAAGCATGAAATCTGGTATAATATAGAGCTGAGAGGTTCCTTAACGAACAAGAGGCAGTAACAGGACCACAGTGTTGTCAAGAGGTTCAATATTCCTCTCTGTGTCTCTCTCTTTCCTTTGCCACTCAAAGCTGTATATTATGTTTCCCAGCATGCTTTAGAGGATCATGCACTTCCACTTAGAATGCTCAGCTAATAATAGCCCATGGAGCTGCATCAGTGCATGCCTTGGGGCTGGTATATATACTTGTTTGATTCTAACCTACAAAATGAACTAAGCACAACATGCATTTTTTTAATTATTAACGCTGGATAATTTAGCATCTCAGCCATAAAGGGCAGGCTGGATTATAGTACCACAAGCCACACAAATCCTTGCACGGCAATCACTGACGTAATGGCTTTGCATCCAGATTGCATTGCTTGACTATAGTCTGAAATGTCCATTGATGCACATTCATTGTAACATTGGCCGGTATTCTTTACAGCCAGAGGATTGATTGCATTACTTAGTTGAGAACATCCATTATAAATGTTCGAATGCTGGTTGTTGAATGCACATAGCTTGACTTAGCTACATGACGCACGAAGATGTGGCAGTATTATGTACCAGACAAAATTGAAAAAAGCAAGAGAGGTTTGCAAAAATCACTTGCAAGCTTCCTAAAACATTGTGTTACATTGTTCCTGGTGGTATATTGCGCTAACTGTATCATCGTGCTTCCGTACCATATTAGTACCCATAATTAAGCTCCGTACACAGTTGTTTTTCCTTGGTTTTTATGCTTAACAAGAGGTCGAAAAAGCAAGGTAATGTTGCAATGACAAGCTTCGGAATACAAAAGCTTATCCTGATTCTGATATCACCAAAATATTTCAGGCTTCTATATTATTTCTACTTCGCATCCTTTTTCTTTTCAAGGGGGAAGTTGGGTTTTGCTTGCCATGTTGCGGTGCTTCCTAAACTATTCTCATGGATTTGGTGGGCCAGAGAAGAAAAGTTAATGCTTTTTTATAATGCTTGTTTATAAGATGTCTGTGCAGGCACTCACCAGTCCATTCGAAGTCGCAGAAACCACCTGAGACAAAATTTAAAATGTTTGTATATATAAAATCCTAGGCTTGCAGCCTGATAATCCAAGTATTGTCTAGTGCGTAAACGGACGTACCAGAACTGCAGCGACAAGCAGCCAAGCCTTCTTCATCTTGTCTCTCTGCTCAAGGTGAACAAAAGCGCGGACAGAGCAACAATGGCTCCGGCCGGACGACTGAATAAACTGCAGAATCTGGACAAGGTTGCCCTCCAGCGCGCATGAACGGTCCCATTGTTGGCAACTAAAGCGTTATTGTTGCAGTATACTCGGGCGCAAACGCAATACGCATTACTTACGTGACGTCAGGGGCAGGCGCGGAGAGAGCATTGATATCCATCCCTCCACCCATTCGTTATTGTGAGGAAGTTATGGTGGTCATTACTTTATGCGCATGCGCAAAAGAAAAGCGCGCGTTACTCACCGGTCGGTTCTGTTGTTGCAATTCCACTCCAACATAATTGAGGATACTATTTGTCATTCATGGGCTGCTGGGTAGCATGGTCTGAAGCCTGCTTGTGGGATCAAGCCATAACTTACATTGAAACATGATGTAGTGCATATAACATTATACAAAACAAGAGTGTACCACACTTACACTTGTCAGGAATAACGGTATATTCTATCAGTCAAATACATCATGATTGTTCTAGTCTGATCCAGTCCCCATGCCACAGCTGACACAACAACGAAGACCACTACTGCCCATAGCTAATTGTGAATCGCACAAGTTCTGCCTGACCACGACAGCACACACACCTGGATTCTCATCTCGTAAACACATGTTTTCTGAAAGAATAAGGACATGACTGTAACAAATGATTCATACATCTAATGAGACATACCACAGTTTCGTACAAAACACTGCCTTTTAGCAATTGGTGCTCTGCTAATATCACAGAAGTCAGTGGGGACTCGTGTCAGGGTCTGAGGGCTGAGGCAAAGCAGTTCCCTCTCTTGCATGCCATATCCACACGTCTTTGAACACTGCAACGAGAAATGATAGTTTTACCCACAACACCTGTGTCAGTCTGACTTACTGGCGAGAACCTTGTGGTGTCCCAGATCCCAACAAAGCAGTTCTTATTACCACAACTGGCTAAAACTGGATTGCCATACCATAATAAAAACACAGATAGGTTACACCATATATAGGGATTCATTTTAATATACTTGGTGGCTTTGGTATCATAGCAGCCTCACAAAATGAGTCATTGACTGGCACCTGCATGTCGTTTACACATGTGACTGGTCTCTCTTTGCATGAAAATTCATTGGAGACTGGTGGACCCAACGATGGTGTATTACCACACTGAGGGAAGAAAGGGTAGGTGGTAATTCAAGTAGCACTATGATGTAGGAAGTAAAATATTATGCGGTTCCCTACAAGAGGGACGGAAGGTTGAGCAGTTTGAAAGCGCTCAGGTTAACTAGTGTTCAAACACAATCGGTGTCACATGTTTGGTCTGACACAATCCTTCCCATTATTTTTTGTTGATCCTGCACAGGCTTGTCTTGCACGCTTGTGTTAAGTGCAGACTGCTTAGCTCTATAGTTCTATCTTGTGCTTCTCACCTCGCCAAATCTTCCAGGTATCCACCGATAGAAGCAATCAAATGTATTACACATTTCGGATTCCGCCGGGGGCTCCCCTCCACATTGAGTAATATTCACGTCTGTCACATTGAGCTGGGTTTTGCCATTCATGTCCTTGTACTTATTTAGGAGTATTACACATTCAACAGTTCTCGTGCGGACTCCACCACCACAAGTTGCACTGCACTGCATATAGGCAGCAGAAATTAATATAGCTACTTTGGGCAACTGTATAATTATTCTGCAAGCGTTTTAAATCTGAGAATATAGTGAGTGCATCATTTTTCTTTTCAGTATATAAGGTACAATATAAAAACATGAACTACAGTACTTGGTTTGTCTGTCTGTCTGTCTGCAACACCATTCTTCACTCGGCAGTGGGCAATATGTGATATTAACAGCTTGGGCTCTAGTATTACGCGGTACAAATCATATTTCTTCTACAGTTATGGTGAATGGAAAAGCAAACACACCATGTAAGTGGTGGGCACAGGCAGGTTCAAACACGCACAGTTATGTTGCATTCGTGCTATGCAACTGCCGCTCCTATATACAAACAAAGACAACAGATATAGGCCTACATACAATTATGACGGACTCTGTCACTTCTACATTATAATCAATCAACATGTATACCTGTCCAAATCTTGATGCTTGATAGAAGGGGCAATCCTGTGTCTCACACAGCTCTCGTTCAGAAGGTCTTGGACCAGCTCTCTCTGACATGGCACACATGGTGTCCTCTGCAGGTCTCAGTGTGGTACTGTTAACCAGGGCTGCATATCTGGAATTGATTGGGAATTTTTCCTCGAGGCAAGACGAACTTCTGGTTCGGACTCCTCCGTTGCAACTCTTTGAGCATTCACTCCACTCGGTTCGTATTCCACCTGTACTCTATTACAGACTATATCAAAAACAAAGAATAATATAAACCAATAGAATTTTATCCACAGGTCCACACTATAAGCAACTGTATTCACAACTATGAGAGAGGATCGTAAAATTGCTTTACGTTAGCTTTTGGCTGCTTATCATAGGTTAGGTCTACTGAGTATGCTTCTGGAGTCATGCTCTGTACACCTATTGCAAGTGCTGCTCAAAGTGACACTTTGTGTGCACAATGGAGGCAGTCAGCCTGACTCTTCTGTCTCATAGTTTGTTAGAAATGCAAATCATCGTTATCGTCGAGGTGAGATATGTTACTTTTGCTGGGTGTATATAATATATGGGTGGTTACATACACATTACACGAGTGGCAGTATGCACATTTACTGACTTAAAGACGCTAAAAAACTTACCAAAATGACCACATGTGTCACACTGGTAGTGCAAATTTCAGTTCGCTCAATTAAAGAGAATAATTGAAAGTGGACTTGTGATATGTCAATAGTCCGGATTGGATTGTACCTGTAGCAAGCAAATCCAACATCTCTGGTACCTACAGCAACATCATGCAAGTCAGACAGATTTACTATAAATCTCAACTCACCAAAACCCACAAGTTACTGGACAGGGTCCACCAGCCATTGTGCCGCATCAATTACTGTTAATCGAGAAACCTTCATTTAAAACACAAATTCAAGCATTTAAAACTAACTTTCTCCTTGCAAGTTGGCTTGGCCATTTGCACTTCCTGCAAGATTTCCACCTATACAGTCAATGTGATTAAGCTCCAAAAGGGGATGTCAAAGGTTCATTGAATGTGTTTAGAAGACTAGGATCAGCACATCCTGCCTTGGACTGCTCAGAAAAACTTCGTACCTCCACGTGTCAGTACCTGCATTGAGTGCGCGATCGTTGATTCGCCAGGTTATATCCACCTTGGGTCTTCCATCCATTCGCATGCCAACACTAGCTGTTCAAAACTCTCGCAGATTAATATAGTTTTCCATTGCTGGTGATGAGGTATCGGTGAGACAAAGTTTCTGTACAGACGTAGGACGGAAGGGAAAACCAGCCAGGGCTGGAGTACAGGAGGCACTGAGGCCAAAATGAAAGAGTATACAAGAATGATTGTTACTTATTTTCATGCCAAAACTTTCATGCTACACTACCTGCTGTCGAACACTTTTCAGAGTTGAAGTAGCCATGGCGGGTGGAGGGACTCCATTGCCTAGCTACACACACATACTCTCCTACGTCATCCATTTGGACATTTAGCAGAGTCAGTGCTTGTCTTCTATGCATGATCTCGCCATGTGCTGTTTAAGAGTTCTTGCCCCTCAGCTGCTCGAGAAATACTCTGTAAAAGGCAACAGTTGGCACTTCGGTTCTCCGGCCTAAAACATTGCATTTAAAGGACGTCACGGAACCGCCTTCGAAAACTGTGACCATCAGTTCCAAGTACGCTTCTATCTCTATTATTTGGGTGTTTTCTGCCCTCTAGACCAGAAGTTGGATTTGTTTCGAAGAAGATAGAAAAGAAGTTCCTTATAAGATCGCAATTGACTGTGTGCAGGTGGCGGTAGTTATGCGATAGCTGGTGAGTTAGTTGTGTAGAATGTACTCGTTGTAGTCTTGCCGCAAAAAGATGTACGCCAGTAGAGGGCCTTCAAACCTTTCGAACTGTAATGATGCTCGCAGTGTTTAAATTGCCGCTACTAAATACCGTCAAACACAGGATGATAACTGTTGTATCCAGCTATATGGCCCATCTGGAAGGGACGGCCTGAAGAAGTCATGTCCAGATAGTCAAGAAGAAGGAAGGGGGAATCGAACTTCACTATTATCCACACGCGGAAGAATAGGTGTAAATTTCCTTCGTTGAAAATCACACGAAGTATTCCGAAGTCTTGGGCTGGTTCAGATTAGATAGTTAGTAGATACTAGAGGCCTGAATGACAGCATCTACATTCCTATGCTTTCACGCTCATCATCAAATACATGCCTAATCGCGTATGCTGAATTGACTTGACCAAAATTACTCCCCTCCGGGATACGTGACTGTAGCAAGTTAGGAGCGAACTGTTAAACGCCTCCCATCATATATGAGCTGAAAATGGTCTGACCTTGACCATGAACTCTACGTGGTGTGTCTCTAATGAGCGAGCCAAGTAATATCAGATGTTATTATGTCATGGTGCTAAATGTCACGGTCAGCATAATCATCTGATACATATTAATTTCCCTGGACCTGCTGAGACGCCATGCGTAATAAAATACGGGGGAGACCACGTTGTTGTTATTATTATTATTAGTGTATTGTATATTAACCCACTGATTGATTAAACGACGTAACAACCCGTCCGTGGTATTCTGCTTACCATACTACTGTCGGGGTTCGTCACTCTGATGTAGACCACCATCATAGCCTAACACTTCCATCCCCCAGGTGAATATTGGTCGATGAACTGTTACTAGATCTATCATGAATAAAGAATCTACTGTTCGGATGTTAGTATGGTGGAAACGTGCTGGCTTAATAGGTTATCACTGTCTCTCCTCCGATGTTTGTGCTGACCATATGATACTGTGTAAATTCACACCGTCCACTTCATTTGTAGTATGGTTTGTACGATTCAAAGTCAACATCAGG